GGTGGGGCAAAGGTAGGTTCACAGTTATGAGTACACGAAGCAGTTTATTCTTGCATTATTTTCCGTATGAGCAACTGTAAGCCTACTTTTGCCCCACCCGATATGCACTGAGGGCAAATTCGACTTTGCCTAATTTTTTAAAATAATCCTTACCTGAGGATATCTTTCCCAGTGATTTCTAGACAGAGTGAAAGGGAGGTACGAGGGGGAGAGAGAAACATTCATGTGAGAGAAACACATGGTTTGGTTGCCTCTACATGTGCCCCTACTGGGGGCTAGGAAACCTGCAACTGAAGTATGTGTCCTTGACCGGAATCGAACCTTGCCACCTTTTGGTCCACGGGCCGACGCTCTAACCACTGAGCGAGCGGCCAGGACTCTGCCTAATTAAAAAAAAAATGTTTCTTATTGATTTCACAGAGAGGAAGGGAGAAGGAGAGATAGAAACATCGACTGCCTCCTGCATGCCCCTACTGGGGATCAAGCCCGAAACCCAGGCATGTGCCCTGATCTGGAATCGAACAGGAGGCGCTCAACCCAATTGCCACACTGGGCAGACTGCCTAATTTTTCACCTCCTCTGCACCTAGCTAGGAGATATCAGCAGTGATGACCTTGAAGTACTGTAAGGTCCTTTGCCGTTAGAAAGGTCTGCTGTGTCTTCCCGCAGGGTCCCCAGTGAGGTGACCTGAGAGCACTGAGAACGCCAGGTCACCCCCAGTGGTCACCTCTCCATTGTAGTGGGGACTGCCTTCACTCCGGCTCCACCGCCTGCATCTTTCTCTGCAAATGCTTCACGCCCCACTCACTCATCACGAGGTTTGGGGAAATGCAAAGTAGCTTTTTCTCCTCAAAGGGAGGAGTCCTTGATTTATTTATCATGGTAAGAAAGCTTACCTCTTTCAAAACTGTTTTCCAAATGAGGAGCTGGAATAAAATGAGTTGCTGCATTCCATTAATACTCAATCAGAATACTCAAAACACCCCTATAGCCTTCTTCCTGGTTATCTGTTTAGGGCAAGTTTTATTGTAATTCAAAACTTTCTCCTCGACTTCCGCCTGAGATTTTGAGGAAGGAGGCAAACAGCAGAGATCCTGGCGATGCAAGTCTATTTACCTGGGGGCCTGACTCAACGGAGGACTGTTTGGTCCTCTGCCGCACAGCACTTGGCCTCAGTGGAGAAGAGGAGAAGGACATTAAAAGCCCTGGCTCCCCTTTTCTCTCCACCGGAGGCCGTATAATCTAAGGTTAAGAACTTCGCAGTCAGAATGGCCGGATTTTAAGCCTCAGCTCTGATGTTTCATGAATTCTATAGTCTTGGATAACACACTTCATCTCTTTGAGCCTCTTATCTGCAGAAATTGGGGAAATAACAGTGCCTGCCTGAATAGGGCTGTTATATGCATGAAATAGAACAGCAAAGGTGTGTTAAGATTCCTAGTTAGTGCTCAGAATGAGTTACGGTTCCCACTGTCTCCTCCCTGTAAGATCCCTTAGACCAGCGGTTCTCAACCTGTGGGTCGCGACCCCTTTGGCGGTCGAACGACCCTTTCACAGGGGTCGCCTAAGACCATCCTGCATATCAGATATTTACATTACGATTCATAACAGTAGCAACATTACAGTTATGAAGTAGCAACGAAAATAATTTTATGGTTGGGTCACAACCTGAGGAACTGTATTTAAAGGGCCAGAAGGTTGAGAACCACTGCCTTAGACCTACACACCCTCCTTTTCCACAAGCCCAGCTCTGGCCGGTTGCTACCAGTGGGAGGTATATGAATAAAAGAGGAAGATTTAGCAATGGAATTCCATCCAAAGGTGAACTCATCTGTTCCCTTGTCTACAGCATGACCTCCCTCCAGACTGAGGGCGCTTCTATTTTTAGGATGGATGTCCCAGCTTCCCTTCCCTTCCCTTCCCCTTCAAGGAAAAAAGGAAAGCCCTGGCTGGTGTGGCTCAGTTGGTCTGGGTGTGGTCCCCACCACCAAGAGGTAGGGGGTTTAATTCCTGGCCGGGGCACGAAGTCAGGTTTCGGGTTCCATCCCAGTTGGGCGTGTACGGTGTCAGCCAATCCATGTTTCTCTCTCTCCCCCTTCCTCTCTCTCTCTCAAATAAATAAAAAAGGAAAAAGAAATCAGTACAAATATATATTAGGTATTGGAGAGAGGAGAGAGAGAGAGAGAGAGAGAGAGAGCGCGCGCGCGCGCGCGCGAGAGCGCACTTGTAATTTTCCACCCTGCTTGTTTAGGTGCTGCCATATGAAATCTCTGAACTGGGGATTCTCATCAGCCTTCCTGGGCCCCAAGGACGAAAACGGTGCTGGTGTTGGTGGTAGAGCTGCCGCCGCGTTATCTGGGCCCAATAAACCTTATCAAACTGCTGTGCAGCCAGTCTCCAGTGCTAAGTGGAAATGCTCTGAGCCCAGCGCTGGCACGCAGCCTGCCTTCCTCCTTTTTGTTACCTTCTCCACCTCTTAAACTCAGACATTAATCTCTCTTTAACACTTACTAACAAGGGCTGGGCTTTTTAATGGCAGAGTTTATGAAGCAAGGGAGATTTTCACATAGAGTGAGTATGGTATGGCGGTGGGGGGAGTCCGGGCCATGGAGGAATTGTTCTTTCTCTCCCATTGTTCCCAGAGGTTCTCTGATGTGAGGATTAATAGGCCTAGGACCAAGGGCGAAGCCTGTGCTTCTCCTGCCACTGCATTTGGGAGCGGCTGGCAGTGGTGTGGACAGCCAGGCCGCAGCCTTCAGTAGACACCAGGAACACAAGTATAAGGATTCCCTACTTCCCTGGTGAGGAGGTAAGAGGGCCTTTAATCCTCTTCGGACATCTCTCCCCACTTGCTCTCCTTGCAGACCAGTTTTCTTAACTTTCTTGACATCCCTTTCCTCTTACCAGACTGCACAGTCTTTGGCTAGAAAAGTCGTCTATGACAGGATTGCTCTTTATTGTTAATGAAAAGGAACTCCCAGGGCCTGGGCTTTCCCGGGCACCAGGTGGGCATTGCGGTTCCAAGCGGCTTCTCTGACCCCGGCTGCCCTCCCCCCTTCCCGGACCCTGCAGGTCCCAGCACTGTCCTGGAGAGAGAGAGGCACGAGCAAGTCCCGGCTGGGCTGGAGCGGCCTGTCCGGGGACTACCCGTTAGTAACTCTTGGGAACCCAGATCAGTTGATTTGTAAACTCTGCCTTCTGGCCTTTCGCACCCGGAAGCGGATTCTTGTCTCTAGTTGGCTTCTGCCACCTTCCTTGACCCTACAGCTCCTGGGCCGGACGTTGGGCCCGGCGCGGTGCCAGAGGCACACATCGGGAGGCGATTATCCTGAGTATTGCGGAAGGCCTTTGACCCGCCCGCGTGCCAGGGGCAGAATGCGGAGGCTCAGGACTCCCTGATTGAGACCCAGCTTTGCTAAGACTTGCATGACCTCGGGGGCTGACTGTCCACAGACCCAGAGATAGCCTTCCCCGCCCCCACCCCACCCCCACTCCAGCCTCTGCTCCTGAACTTTAGTCGGTCACCCCTGCCTTCACGCAGCTGCGCGCTTCCCACTCTTTGGCCCCCTACCTTCGCAGGGGAAGGGGCAGAAGGGGACTCCCCGCCGCCGAGGCGGACAGATTCCTTCTGGTTGCTCTGCTCCCAGGTTAGTGATCTCCACTCTGAAGTGGAGCGGCCCGCCGAGAGGGGGCGCATTGCGGGCCTGGACTTGGGCAAGCTTCCACCGTCCCCTGAAGACTGCGCCGAGCCGGGCGCAGCGCTCGGGAACTGTTTCCAGCCAGGTCACCTGGGGGGCACAGCCGAGGGCACGCGTAAGACTGAGAAGGATGAAAGTTTCTCCCAGGCTTCGACCTCAGTCCCCAGGGATCGCGACTGCCCAAACGGGACGTCTGCCTCCAGGGACGGGTCCCGCGGACCCTCTGGCACTTGGCTCGCCAATTCGGTTGCTCTTCGCCCAGAGGCACACGGCGTCCGGCAGGCACACAGGGCCTGAGCTTGGGCTGGGAAGGCGACCTTCCCAAACCGACCTCGGGTTACAGGGAACGCAGCCCTGAGCCTGGAGCAAAAGTGAAAGGCGAGATGACACGCACGGAACTGGGGCAAACATTGGAGCCCGGGACGAAACTCCCCTCCTGGAGCAGCAGGGGGGAAACCGTGTCCGGGGGAAATAAAAAATCTGGGGGTTGAAGGCGGGGCTGGCCCCCGCACCTCATCTCTACTGCCCCGCTAAGGGCTCCGAGCCCCTGGCACTCTGCTCCGTGAGCTCCTTTCCTCCCTGCTTGGCCGGTGACGGCGGCCGCCGGCGCCCCAGCAGCAGCTAGATGTCAGGCGAAGCCCGGAGCGC